ACTGCTGAGTGGAGCAGTAGGCAAGACAGGAGATGTCTACCTTGCCATGTGGGTTGCTCCCTGGCCTGCCGGGGATAAAACTCGTGCTGCAGAGTTTGCGGATTGCTTCATAGTGCGGTGCTTAACCCCTTGCGCCACCAGGGAAGCCCAAAGTACTTTTTTTTAAAAGAGGAATTCCAGCATATTAAAAAGTGATCCAAAGGTCTTTCTCCAAGTTATCCCTGCCCCAAGGATATCAGATTTTAAGTTAAGGGTAGCAAGATGCTCCCTTAACACTATTTCTCTCCATGTCCCAAAACTATTCCCCTCTTGCCTGGTATATTTTTTTCATTTTCTTCTCAGAACTGTATCCAGAAACATGTCCATTCACCAATGTTTTGCAGTTGGGCCTCATGAAAGTTCAAAAAAGAGGTTATCCATCCCAAATGGGAGAGGGTAGAATTCCTCCATTAAAAGGAAGCTCTCAAAGGTTTGGTCTGAGAACCTAAGACCTTTTATCTCTGAGTCATGGATTTGAAGCCTAAGCAGTACCTTAATCCTAAGAGGGAATTCTTTGTTTAGTGCAGGGGTTCTTAAGTCAGGATCCTTAGACACCACTCCCATCCCCACCAAAGTCCATGGGTAGAAATCAATAGGGTTTATGAATTTGAATAGCAGAACAAACAATAAAATCCTTATTTTCACCAACCTCTAAATGAAATTTAGCATTTCCTTCAATTGTGAATGTAGGTAACAAACCACAGATGATGATGATGATGATGATTAATCATTATCGCACCACCACTACTACTAGTAGTTGGGACTTTATCATCAGTAGAAGTCAAAGAAATTTTCACATATTATTAGTTATCTCCAAATATTGAGATTGAGAAATCTGAAATGATCACTTATACTCATCTGTATTCTGAAGTAAGATGGTACTAGCCTCTCCACTAAATCTTGCTATTTAATGTGTCAATAACAAAAACATGAATCTCGCTATAGTATCACAATTCTGATCCTAGTATTTCAGTATAATTATTTTCTTTATAATCCTTTGTATTTAGTTTTATTTATATAAAAACTATTCTGAGTCCATACACAAGAACTTCTATGAACTGATTTAAAGAAAATCTGCTTATTCACAAGTCCTCACAAAGGCACTTAATATGCTGAGGATAATAAACTGTCTTTAAAAATATTTGAAGATTAATTTATTTATTTGTGAGTTTGAACTCTCCCTAATTCCTAATACTGATCATTGGTAGACCATTGGACCAGTGTAGGGTAAAGAAAAATGTCAGGCTTTTCTGCCTTCCCGCCATCAGGATAGATGATGGATCCTTGTGGTCCTGAATGCATGCCTGATGGCGGGCACCTGGAGTAGGGTGTGTGCATAGGTAAATGGGATTCACCTGGGTTAAGACTGTGCTTTTTTTAAGGGTGGTGTCACGGGGACGCCAGTAACAGCGGAAGCCGAAGCAGAGAGAAGCAAGAGAAGCAGAAGCCGGGAGAAGGTCGGAGAGCTCATAGAGGGAAGACCTGCTGGGGGCTGGGAGGCTTGCCAGCACCTCTGCCTGCCAGCCCCCCAGCACCTCTGCCTACCATATGCCTGGTGAACCCCAATAAAAACCTGCAAAACCACTGAGGACTCTGACTCCTCCTTTACCTGGTCTGCATGGGATCAGAAAACCTGCCCTGTGTCCAGGTCCTGCCTTTACAAACAGGAATCTTTAAATCAAGGAGTTTGTTCTGGGCATCCCAATGACTTTTCAGTAACATGGGCCAATAGACTCCCTTTTCTCTTGGGTTACACAAACTTGGGGTTTTGTCACCTTACCCAATTGGGGTCTGGTTAACATAGACCACTCTATAATGGGGTCATTTGAGGGTTAGGGGAAGGTGGGAGAGAATGCTGATCTCTCTGGGAAAGAGGAGATACTACTATCTGCATTAACTTAAAATCCTGGTATCAACGGAACATTGATAAGATAAAGTCCTGCCCTCAGGTCCATCCTTAGGTTTCCCCACAAGGGTCCCCACAAGTGCTGTCAGGTATTTTTAAATATATTGTTTAATTTATGGCTCATCATAGCCTCTCTGGATATGTACTATCATTCCCAACCATTACAGACAAGGGGTGGGGGGGAGGTGGATCACAAATTAAATAACTTGCCCAAGAGAACTGCCCCCCAGGCCTATATTTTTCTCAATACTGCCTAGAATTCCTCACCTGACAAATCCACCTTAGGAATTTCAATTCATTCTTTAAGTCTCACATCAGCTACCACCCCCATTTTCTCCCCTCCTTACACAGCCTTCTTCTCTACCTAGTACTTACCTCCATCCTCACACCTAACACACTTTGCTTATTCTTATCTACCTCCCCTTCTAGACAACTATTTCCTGAGGGTAGGAACATTTTGTATCCCAAGTACTTAGTGCTATGTCTGATACAAACTAACTACAATATAAGTGCTTAACAAGAATAAATGTACTCGTCTCTAACTATATGCTGACTTTGTTAAGTGCTCGAATACATTTATATTCCAGACAACTTCACAATACACAACTCAGGAATGTAGGACATGGAGGTCACTAAATGCTGTACTGACCTACACACGTGGACACAGATAAAACACAGACTGTGCTAAAGAAGCTTACATGGGGGAGTACCATATGTAAGCAGATCATTTCACTGGGGCGTGATTAATCTGTTCTAGAGGTAACTATGGGAAAGAAGCATTTAATAGGGGAAAGAGAGTGGCAGAGAGTGGCTTTTGGGGAAAGCTGCCTGAAGATGTTATCTGAATTGAATCACACCAGAAGAGAAGCATATTTAAATCCCATGGGGGAAGGTGTGTGTGTTTGTGGGGAGGAGGGGGAGAAAGAGGGATGAATTAGGGAGCAGAGGTTGAGGATAGAAACCTAGGGAATAGCTAGGGTGTGGGAGAGCAAATAATCCAGGGAGGAACTTTAAAGAGTGAGTAGAACCAGAAGACAGTACAAGGCAAGGGAATGAGCACAAAATCAGCAGTGTCAATTCAACAGGAAGGTCAAATAAAATAAGGCCTAAAAAGGCATTCAAAGGTTTTAGCAATCAGAAAGTCTTTGGCAACTTTGGCAAGAGCAATTTCAGTGCAGTGGTGGAAGAAGAAGCCAGATTACAGTGAAGTGGTGAGAGAGAACAGTTGGTGAATGCAGGCCGCTTTTGCAAAGATTGGCAACAAGGGTTCCCTTTAGGAAGTGTCCTTTAAGAAAGCAGTAGCTAAACAGTGATGAGGTTTTAAGAAAATGAAATATTTTGGTATTAATTCTTTCCTTCCCATCCCAATGGACACTTTTTCCATTTGGATCCCTAAAACTCTACAAGGCTGTAAACTCCATAAGGATGAGACTTGTGTCTCAATCATCTTATTCCACACACAGAATAGGCTGTTTACCTGTATATGGTATAGGTTCAGTATTTGTTTAACCAATGAATGAAATGCAAATTCAAAATGGGTAGTAATAGAGAAATGAAGGGATCTACTCAGATACAGCTATTCTTTGTTCTTCTTTCAAGGGAGTTTGTCTGAAAATTCAGGAGCATAAAGAAAAACCCAGACAATCTTATCTCAGAACTGCTTTTAAATTTTTGACTAGAGGGGGGGGGGCATATTTAGGGCCCAGTTTAGATTCTGGAAACTACTGGAAAATAGATGTTTGGTGTCAAGGCTCCCTTTCATTACCAGAAGTTGTTCAATTAAGCTCTTGGCAGGTCTGTGGTGGATTCCCGGTAGTGCCATTCCAGTTCTGTGTAACCGGCCCAAGTTTCAGTTTTCTCATTGGCAACCCAAAGATGCCCATAATAGCATCTGCCTCATAGGGCTGCAACAGGATAAATGAGATACCACGAAGAGAAGTGCTTTATAGGGTACTTGGCAAAATGGCACGCGATATGTTAATAAAATATGAAAGATACAAGACTATTAGAATGAATAAAAATATGACTAACGGGTATGAGTTCCAGAAGAATTGGGTGCAATCTTATTAATCAGATTTTTAAAAAAAAAAGTCAAAACTTATTTTAAATACAGAAACTTGTATTTTAAGTCCTTTTACAAAAGTGAACAATGAGCCCCTATTTACCAATTTCATATGTTAAGTTTACTGAAAAGCTATTTCAAAGCTTCACCTATGCGAGTGGACCTGCCCAATTAAACCAGTTAACATTCCTTAGCAGTGGTGGGGGTGGAACCAAGGTGTTGCCATAGTTTCCTGGCCTGCCACCACCGCCTGCCTCAGAGCACCCTTGGGTATGTAGTTTCTGTTCTAACGAAAATTTAGCCCCAGAAGCACCACTGTGCAAAGACTAGCCCTTTCAGAAGCCTGCAGGCCAGCAACCCGACAGCACTAAGGGAGGACTTTGTCCCAAAGCTGTCTAGGGGGTGGGGAACGAAACTTTGCAAATAACCTCAGCAGAACTTCGGGACTGACGCACCAGCGACCCGCCCCTGTGCCCCATAGAAAGGCCGGGCTCCGAGCCCACGGGACACGCCAGGCCCTGACCAGAACAGCTGGCAGCCGCGCGGGAGGCCAGGGGGTTCTGAGCAAGGCGGCGGCTGTCCAGGCTTTCCGGGTTAAGGCAAATGCGCTCTGCGCTGTAACCGCACCTACAGTCGCTGAAAAGGTTAATGTAAATGTCAGAGGCCCCAAAAGGGGGCGGGGTAGGAGAACAGCCGTGGGGCAGGAGGCAGAAGGTGGGGCCTCCCAAGGTCAAGCTCCGCTTCCCCGCCGCGCCTCCCGGGCCTCGGGGAGCCCGGAGAGCAGCAACGCGGAGCCCCGCGGCCACCTTGGGGCACACGAAGACCTCCGCCCGGCCTCGCAGCCCCGGGGCTGAGCAGCCGGGGGTGGAGGCTGGGCGGCAGCGCGGAAGTGGTGCGCCCCAGCGAGGCAGGAGCCGGGCTGGCGACACCCGCCGCACGTAGCGCACGGCCCCGCGCGCGGCCGCAGCCCCGAGGACCCGGCGGGTCCCTTACCCCGTTGGCGGCGGCGATGCGGATGATGAGCTGGATGGCTTCCTTCATGTAGAACCTGCCGTCCCCGCCCACCACCAGGGTGGCCTCCTGTCGCTGCGCCGGCTCCACGGTGGAGATGATACTCTGGATAAAATTCTCCGCGTAGTTGGTGTTGCTCTGGAACACCTTCACCCGCTTCCGCAGCCCGCTGGTGCCCGGCTTCTGGTCCGGGTACGCCTGGGTCTTCACCGTCACGATCTTCACCATGGTGGCGACTGTGGCCTGTGGGGATCTTCCAAGCCGGGGGCAGCCGGAGCAGTGGCTGCAGCTGCTCCGGGGTGCGGGTGCCGGGTGTGAGGGTAGGCAGGGGCTACGCCGGCTCTCGGCCGCGCTCGGCCCTCCTCCTCCTCCTTAAAGGGACCAGGGACGGGGCCCTCCCTCGCTGCTGTCCACTGCCGGCCTGGTCCGGGAGGGAGGGGGGTAGGAGCGCCCACTTCCAGACCTCTTGTGAAATGGGTGGAGCCTCTCTGATTCACCCTCCCCCTCGGAAGCAAAAGCACTACAAAATGAAATTCGCAGCTCTTCCCCTAAGGGAAAAGGCAGAGCTTGTTGTAGGGACCAGGTTTTGTTGCAAGGACTTGAGCAGGGTGGGAAAAGTACAAAGTATAATGATCTCCGGTGGTTTAGCTAGTGCATCCTATTTCAAGAACTGTCTGAAACCTGATCTGAGGGATTGAAGAGCTAATCTTAGCTAATTTTTATGACTCCTTATATTTTCTAGTCTTCCTCCACATACTAGAGTATTTGGGAATTAGAAAAAAGGAGTCAGGCCTCCCTGGTGGCGCAGGGGGTTGAGCACCGCACTATGAAGTGGTCCACGGCCTCTGCAGCAGGAGTTTGGTCTCTGTTAGGCCAGGGAGCAACCCACATGGCGAGGCAGACCTCTCCTGTCTCACCCGCTGGTCCGCTCAGCAGTGTATTTCGGTCATTCTGCCTGTTCTGTTCCCGGCTCTGTGTCTGGTGAATCTTCTCACCCGCTTGCATCTCTGGCCTGTGCCCCACCTCTTGTATGCATAAATGAATAAATCTTTAAAAAAAAAAAGAAAAGAAAAAAGGAGTCAATTCTAAAGGTCTAATTCGACCTCCTACTTTCCATGTCTTTACCAATGGACTACACACTTTACTTCCACGGGTTAGGGTGGGTATACTAGTAACTATCATTTATTGAATATGCTTCTAATCCTTGCTAAAGTATAGGTTTTTGCTTTTCTCTATTTTATGCTTACAAAACTGAGAGTCAAAGAAAAACATGCTTTGCCAAGACCATAGAGATAAGCACATGCAAAAGATCAACTCAGGTGGGTCTGGCTCTAAAACCAGAGCTCTTATGGTGATTTGCCAGAGTCTCACCAGGCTTAACAACAAAGACATGTACAAAGAGGTCTTGATAAATGTAGGTGCAAAAATAAGGTAAGGTTGACCATGATTACCATCAAAGTAAGACAGTTATTCAGTTAATAGAAACTTGGTGAAGAGATCAGGAAGGAATATGGAAGACACGGAGTCAATGAAAGGGACTCGCTCGGTTATAGGTATTGTCAGTCTTTCCTTTAGGTTTGATGACAGTGAGTGGAGGATACACTCATGATACCTGTCATTTTGGTGAAGTGGAAAAAAATATGCCTCTTCCGCTCCAAGATGTGTGACCTGGGGAAAGTTAGTTAATGTCTATGGACATCCATTTATTTACTCTAAAATGAATATAAAACCTATCTTGGGGGACTTCTGTAAGAATTCATGGGGTTTCAAATGCCCAAAAATAGATGACTGGATCAAGAAGATGTGGTACATATATACCATGGAATATTACTCAGCATTCAAAAAAGACAAACACATGCAATTTGCAGCAACATGGATGGAGCTGGAAGGGATCATGCTCAGCGAAATAAGCCAGAAAGAAAAAGAAAAATACCGGATGGTCTCACTCATAGCAGGAATCTAGAAAACTTAAATAAGGGACCAGGAAAATGAATAACTGTAAGAAAGTGAAAATCAAAATCAACAAAAAACTATGAACCAGAGACACTCTATGGGGGGTGGGGAGTGGGGAGGGGAGGGATTGGGGTCAAAATAAGGGGGTTGCAATTGTATGGGGAATATAAAAATAAAATTTATTTAAAAAAAAATAAAATAAAATGAACCAAAGCTGTTCCCTGTATATAAAGGGAGAGAAGAATAGAGTTGGATTTTCTGGATTTATTTGCTTGCTTATTTACTTACTACAATTTATTTTTTGAGATATCTTTGATAATACTTTCATATTTGCTTTGGTATGGCTGAAATCACGACTGGATTGCATCATAGGTTTGGAAATTGCTGTGTGACATGTAATTTGTGCCTTTGCTGTTATTAAAAACTACTGGAAGAATTATTTGCTTTGAGAAATAAAAGTTACCAAAGTCATAATTTAAAAAAAAAAAAGAATTCTTGGGGATTTAGATGTCAGTAGTTCTTAATAATGAGTACATAATAAAATCACTGGAGACTCTTTTGAAATTACCCATGCTCCATCCCCAGTCCAAACAGATTCATTCATCTTAATCTATATAAGCAAATCACCTAGCATGGTGCCAGAGACCTAGAGGTCCTCAAACAATATTAGCTTCCCTTCCCCACTTTGAAAACCAGACTCTGAGTGTGTGTGTGTGTGTGTGTGTGTAATTCCACTATATTCTTGTCTTTTTGTCAATTGGCCTATCTTCATCAAGCAAAGAGGCTGACAAACACATGACTGTAACTCAGAAATCATATGTCGTTACAGGTATTATATAGGTGTGGGATTTTATTTAATCACTATAGATAAACTTCAGGTGCAAATAACATGAAAACTGAATCCTGGGCTGCTGGTAATGATTTCTAATATTTTCACTGGAGTTCAGAGTTTGTGGAGCGCTATAATCTTCTGAATTAAGTAATATAATCAACCCCATTTTATAGAAAGAAGAATTGAGACTAGAATGGTGAATGTGATTAAGGTTCCCTAACTCCACACAATGAAAATATAAAATAGAAACACTGAGTCTCAGAAATATCTACCTCATTGAGTTGTAAGAATTAAATTAGATAACAAATATAGAGTTCCTACCATGGTACTTATAAGTATTCAATAAATGGTAACTCATTATTATAAAGTGATGGGCTCAAATTTGGATTGCATGCCCTTTCTATGGTCTTAACTATTTTTGGAACTAGGATGTGGATTTTTACTTAAGAGGAATTGCTCTAAAGAGGAAGTTCTCTCACCTCAGAAGTTGTAACATTTAACTTTAACTGAATAGTAAACTGCTCTAATACTTAGTGACTTAAGACAACTACCATTTAGTATTGTTGTTATTGCTCATGATTTTGAGTTAACTGCTGCTTTGGGCAAGATTCTGCTGCCGGCTAAGCTCCTATGACAGTGGCCCCTATGTTTCATGTTTCTCGGCTTCTGGTAATCATGCCTTTATATAATTCCCTTGCATGACTTTTTTTTTTTTTTTTTGCTGTGTAGCAAATTACCATAGGCTCAACTACTTAAACAATGCCCACTAATTATCACAGTTCTGTAAGTCAGAAGTCTGGGTGCATTTGCCTCAATATAATACTCAGAGTAGGTAGGTAGGTGTATAGATAGATAGATAGATAGATAGATAGATAGATAGATAGATAGATAGATAGACAGATAGATATAATAAGGTTGCGATCAATGTGTTGGCTAAGGTAGGGTCTTACATTGAAGCTTTGAAAACAGAGTCTGCTTCCAAGCTCAATCAGGTTATTAGAAAGATTCATTTTTCGGGGGGGTGGGAGGAGAGAGGAAGGATTAGGGTCAAAATAAGAGGGGGGTGCAATTGGATGGGGAATATAACCAAAATGAAAATGCATACATTTTGCAAAAATGAAAAATGATGTAAGAATGATATAAAATAAAATATTTAAATTTTTTTTAAAAGAAAGACTCATTTTTCTGGACATTATAAGGCTGAGGTCCTCATTGCCTTCTTGGCAATGGAATTTATAATGAAAAAGTTTTGTACAGAATTTGTAATGGCAACACTGGATAGTGAAGTGGGTGATCTAGTGGCCAATTAACAGTTATTACTTACATAGTTCATATAGAAACTGAATATCAAAATAAAAAAAATACTGACAGTTCATTAACATGGAGACAAAGCTTCAGAAAGCACGTAAGTGGTATACAGTAAAAGCAGTATTGTTAAAAACAGAACAAAACAAAACTGTGTATTTGTGTACACTCAACTTCCTAACTGGTGGTACTAAGTAATGATGGAATAATCTGTATTGAGAAATATTGGAATAGTCTCCCGCTTAGGTTTAGAAGAGTCACCCAAATCTCTCTCCTACCCAAGAGTTCTACTAGGCTTGAAGGGCAATCTCAAAGGAATTCCGATGGAATAGGGAAATTATAGATCTCCTGAAAAAGTTTTCAATTAGTATTAGCTGGCAAATAATTGATGATTTCATGTGAACCCATACAAATTAATGCTGAATAATACTGCTAATGCCACTTTAGTTCGCTAAATAACCTACATCATAGTTTCTTCCAGGCTGCAGATTTAGTTCATTATGTTACATTTGAACTATTTGTAATTTTCTCAAGTGACTAATTCCTACTATGGAAGCAATTTGAAACAATTTAATATCTATTTGTATCCATAAGTTATTCAGGTACTTAAAACTTTTATTTGAATAAAAGTCAATGGGTTTCTGGGGTCTGTGATTCTGAAATTAAGTTTGTTCCTGTGCCAAAATAATAATAGCTTCTGAACTCATGTTTCAATGTCAAATGGTTATTCGCGAAGCTATATGTGAAATTGATATGTGATAAATTGGACTTTTTTTTCTTAGAATTCATTTTTGTTATATACTATATAGGACATCAGTCTGAATTAATTTATATGAATATTTGATATGCAAATATTAATATTTTAAGTGGCAAAAAGATAAGATTTTTTAAAATACAGATTATAAAGGACATTTTAAAGGAAATAACGAATGTCTTCTGTTATCTCATTTCATCAATATTCTTGTTTAAGGAATCAAGATGCTGTGATAGGCTAAATAATGGTCCCCCAAATATATCCATTGCCCTAGCTCCTGAAACATGTGAATGTTATCTTTTTTTTAAAAAAAAAAAAAAAAAAAAGATTTATTTATGGGCCTCCCCGGTGGCGCAGCGGTTGAGCGCTGGGTTGTGAAGCTGCCCGTAGCCTCTGCAGCGCCAGTTCGATCCCCGGCTGCTCCCCGGCCACTGGAGGAGGGTCCCGCATGGCACGCAGACCTCTCCTGCCGCGCGGGAGGGTGAGAGAATTCACCAGAGCCAGAGCGGGGAGAAGAACAGCCA